GTAACTCTTAGAAAACAGACTTGAAATTAAAAGAACATTGTCCGTTTGTGAGTGTCCCTGCTCATAACTGTCGTGTGTGTGTCCCCAGCTTTGACAGACCCTCACAGTCTGTACCTGTCTGCGGTCTGGAGCCTCATGAGTCTCAAGTGGGCCTTCCTCCTCTCGCTCTCCTCTCACCGCTACCGCAAAGAGTTCGCCGACATCAGCATCCTCAGTGACTTCTAACCAGAACAACATCTATGGAAGAGCGCCCCCTGTCTGTGTCGTCCTACGATTACAGACAGGACTGCAGCATCGACTCTGAGCTGAAACATCTGAACTTTTGTCAAATTTGCAGCACGACATCGAGTTTCAAGCATCTGTCCTTAAATCCAAATGCCCCATGAAGAGGCGCTTGGGGCCACTGTGCTGCTTCGGTCTGTACACACCGGACTGTGAAAGAGCGCCCCCTGTCCGTGTGATGCTGCCACTACAGACAGGACATATTTGCATACATCGTGACTTATAACCCAAACAGAAATACATGGAATAGTACCACTGCCAAGAGTGTGAGCCTGTCATTACAACATTACAACAGCCTCCTCAGTGACAGAGTATCACTGCCTAAAGCACCCCCTGTCTTTTACATCTCATTATTACAGACAGGAGCTCAGTGACTTTGACCCAACAGTACAGGGATCACGGATAGACCTGGTTTAGACCTGGTTTAGACCTGGTTTAGACCTGGTTTAGACCTGGTTTAGACCTGGTTTAGACCTGGTTTAGACCCATGAATCCAGTTTTGTCTTGGGGTCAGAAAATCTACAAAACTTAAACACAAAGTCACCATAGATTATTTTTAAAGGAGATAATTATTATAATGGACTTTGTATGCACCCACAAATACATTTAATACTTATCCAATGCTTAGACTAAGCCCTGAGAGCGCCCCCTATCTTTGTCTTTCTATAACTGCAGGCTGCATGAGGTTCTCACAAAAGAAGCTCGAACTTGTATCCTAATTACTACATTACATGATGGTGCTTTTCGTTGCCTGGATACAGAGGGAAATGACCCAGTGACGTTGTATAGAACCTGAGCTACAGAAAAAAATTAAAATCTCTGGAGTCATGGATGTGCACAGAAACATGATACTGACTGAAGAATGAAGGACCGTTTAAGGGAGAGTTCCCGTTCTACAAATCAAATCTTAAATCGCACTAAATACTCGTCTGTCACATGGTTGAAGCTCATTGCAGCATTTTTTTGTTTCCCAGTATGACATTTGATCCCAGCATTTTTTTTTTACAAATTATTGTGAAATAAAGCATCATTTGCATATTCTAAATAAGAGGAAAAAAATACAAATTCAGATCATTTAAATGTATACCATGTAACTTTTCTACTGGAGGGTCCACCACGTGCTTGACTCTATGGAGATGTTATTGTTTTGCCTGGAATATCCCACACTGTAGCATTAACTTATCCCTCTCCATGGAAACAAGGAGGTGAAGCTACCAGGCCAAGTTACAGGTCAGAGCTGTGGAGAGGTGAGCCTACTCCCAGAAAGAATGTGTTTTTTGAGCTATGTTTGTGCAATAAAACACCTATAATTGAAGAAATGTAAGACTGATACATTTAATGCCATACTGTGGGGCATTCCAGGCAGAGCAATAACATCTCATGGAGACGAGCAGAAAAGTGAATTCATGTTTTTCATTCATCCAAAGATTTTTTTATTGTATCACTGTATCTCAAAATGATGTTAAAGCATCTGAGTGATCCACCAGTGCTCTGCTTCCAGCTTCAAATGGGTTTTAAGATGTTCCTCAGTGGAACCGCAGGAACAGTCCTGCTTTAGAACTAAACTGCAGTACAGCTCGTCTTCTCCTGTGTCCACAAGAGGGAGCTCTTCCTCTACCATACTTCAGAACCTGAGATTATCTGTCACTGGGCCTCTTTACATCTATTTTTTCAGTAGTTTCACTTTTACCAAAGTATATTATAATATTTTGTGGCATTATAAAAATAAAATTCTATTTTATGATTCTGTTATTAAGTGCATATGACAGGTTTTCATGTGTTTTTAATTTTGACTTTGGTTTGGTGGGATAGTACCTGTGGTCAGTATTTTTCATAGGTTTACATCAGTTAAGTGGTTAACTGGTTTGGGAAGAAAAGTAAAAAAATACAGGAAGGAGTGCAGAGATGTAAAACAGAATCCCTCTGTCCACGTCATCAACACAGAAACTCCATCCAAAATGCACAGACTGTTTATGCACAAAGAAGGACTTTTTCTGATACTTTAAACCTTCATTTCACTAAACAGACGTGTTGTCATTATTTATATGACTCTAATCAGAACTATTATGTATTTAAACATGTTTTGGCAGTATTTACGTTATAGTTGCTAGGTAACAGTTATGGAATTACCAACGCATGTCACATTCTGTTCAACCAGGAAGTATCATTATAAACTTCACCAAAATTGGAAAAAAAACAACAAAAAAAACTAATGATTTTAACTCTGTTCTGGTAAAATGAGTGGTCTAACCTGTCATAGGCACTTTAATTACATTTGTCAAAATGTTACAGAATGAAGCTTTATTAAGGCCCAAACTCTGGTCTTGTTTCATGTGAGAATGGAGTTCTACATGTTAAGTCTGTCTAATGTTAAAAAGCCAATGATGAGTATGTGATAGTAAATTTAAAATGTGTGTTTCTCATTTGAATCATGACACTGTGTATCTTATGATTAAATGTGAATGATGAAGTTTACTCACAAGTGGAGAGATGTTTTCCCGTGTTTCACCAGGACGAGTGTTCTGTAGTGGGATACTGCTGTTTCAACACAGATTGGGGCAACTCAAATGAATCTTGTTCAAATGCAGATTTTTGTTGTAATACAGCGAGTTCTTGGGTCTTGTCACTCATAGAAATGATCAGGTTCAACATTTGTGTGACTTTACCTTTTGGAGATTTCATGGTAAAGTACAACATCATTAATAGAACTGTCTCTCCCCCCATCTGAGAGGAACACCAGCACATTCTAGAATCTGAAAACCTCTGATTCATTTCACTTGATTCGGAGCAGTGAATCAGTGATCACTTTTAATGAAGAGCTCTACAACCAATGGTCTTTGAGGAAAAGACATAAGACTATTTTTGTGTTGAATTGCAATGATTAAAAGGCTGTGTTATGTTCAGGAAAAAAATATAAGTTAAAAAAAAACAAAAAACTTTTATTAATAAATAATGAAAGTCATTTGTATTAGTTTTGAATAAAAAATGTGATTAGTTAATGACTGAAAAACATTAGTCATTTATTTGTCCCATCACCCCGACAGGTTTAATTCCACACACACTGAAGTGTATTAACAGATGTATTTAGCTGAAGAGATCTCAAACCTGCAGGATCAAAACACCTTTCAACTGTACTGCAGTGCATTAAAATCTTACATGCGTACCTTTGAATACTATTATGCTAACTGTCATAACTAGTGTTACTACTACTACTATTACTACCACTACTACTAGTACTATCACGGCCTCTGCTATTACTACTGATTCCTCACAAAGAACACCTTATATGCCTGCTGTATTTCCTCCTATACCTTGAGCTTATTTTCAGATCTCTCTTTTGAAGATATCTGGAAGTACTTTGAAGTCTTGGTCCAGTCTGATCCGGGTCAGAGGGTCTGTGAGGGTCTGTGAGGAGCATTAGAGGAGCGTTACAGGGTTTAAACGTTAAGCTGCGTGCACTTGGTCTGATCCAGGTTTATGAAGAATCAACAGCCTCCAGCAGCACTCTCACTCACACTCACACTATCACTATTTCTCACACTATCACTATCACTCACACACTATCTCTATCTCTCACACTCACACTATCACTCTCACTATCACTATTTCTCACACTATCACTACCACTCACACTATCACTCACACTCTCACTCACAATCACACTACCACTCACACTATCACTATCACTCGCACTATCACTATCACTCACACACTATCTCTATCTCTCACACTCACACTATCACTATTTCTCACACTATCACTATCACTCACACTATCACTCACACTATCTCTCACACTATCACTACCACTCACACTATCTCTCACACTATCACTACCACTCACACTATCACTACACTATCACACTCACACACTCTCACACTATCACTACCACTCACACTATCACTCACAATCACACTACCACTCACACTATCACTATCACTCACACTATCACTCACACTATCTCTCACACTATCACTATCACTCACACTATCACTATCACTCACACACTATCTCTATCTCACTCACACTCACACTATCACTCTCACTATCACTATTTCTCACACTATCACTATCACTCACACTATCACTACCACTCACACTATCACTCACACTATCACTCTCACACTATCACTACCACTCACACTATCACTCACACTCTCACTCACACTCACACTACCACTCACACTATCACTCTCACTCAC